CAGCTCTTTTCAACGATATTCGACCTCGACCTTGGCCCTTGTTGACATCTCGACTATGGCTTTTGTCGTCACTTCGACCAGGGACTTTGCTGCTTCTTGGGTCATTTCGTTTAGCAATGGCTCGAGAACGCTTCCCTTAGTATTATCTTTGTTTAAACACTCTAGAAACAGATTTTGACCCATACATTCATTACACTATTTTTTTTTTTCAAAATCCACTAGGCATTGTGCCTAGGGTAAATTTTCATAAATGTAAAGTAAAGTACAACAATGGAGGGGGACATAAACCTTATCTCTCAAAAAATAATTGTACACTTGATCATCACAAAATGATAGTCAAGTGTACCTAAAAAACTATATGAAGTTAGACTTATATGAAGATTCTAATTGTCTATATGACTGTGATAGACAGTTGGATATACAAAAATATGGTTTAGTGTACCTAGGTAAACTATACAATGGAGTACAAATGATCCTAAATCTACTAAGCAGATAACTGTGCTACATCTGAGATAGGCGAAACCTCCAGTGGAGGATAACAAAAAGTGTGAGACTGAAGGAAGTGCTATCTTCAACTTTGCTTGACATTGAGATCAAAGAAAGCCAAATTGAAGATAGGAATCAAAAGGACCCAATGAGCTGGGCCAATAAGCTGCTGCTGTCTATTTGTTTTTGACAAAGGAGAGTGAGCAGTAGGGTACATCTAATATACATATGCTCTCTAGGCAGGCATGTGGAGGTGATGACATCTGACTGCTGGAGATGCTAGAGCCAGGAGTGGGTTGCTGTTGCTGAGAACATGTGAACAAAGAGAGCACGAAAGCTAGGTCTGTGCCCCTAGCAAAGTCCGCTGATGGTCTGCAACTTGTATCCAGAATTGAAGCTGTTGTGGTGAACTTCTAGGTACTAGGAGCTTGTCTATGTATATATGGGGTGTGCAATGCTGAGCTAGATTAATGCTCTTGTTGGTGGCTTTGTGACTGCCAGTATGCATTTTCTGATGGGTCTTGTGAGCTATGCATGACTGTATTTGTGCCAAGGTGACATTGGTTCTTTGGCATGCCCAAGAAAGTTGATGCATTCCCAAGAGATTGAACATAAGAGATGTTGATACTACACCTTGCAAGTGCATCAACAATCCGGATATGGCCATTATACCTACAAAAGGAAACAAACCAGTTAGATAAAAACTTGCTCCCAGGTTCTTGTGTGTTGTGGGAGTTGTGATGGGAGGATGATTTTGTGTGATTTAGGAGTGTTGTGGATGTAGAAAGAGTAGGGTTACTATGTTTCTTTCTAAGAATGGTATGGCCTCATGAAGGGTATACCATGTGTGACTGGTGTATTTGGTATATGAGTGTTGTAGCTGACTGTGATCTGTGGTGTAGGTATTGTGTGTGTGCTTTAGAGGGGGGTGGTTGGTGTAGTGGATAATTGATCAGAAGGTTCATGATCATCTTATGGGGTGTTGTACACCTCCAGAAAAGTAAATAGAACCAGGTAGATCCTTGAGAGCTGGTGTCCTCAGTGGCTAGAGTGTTGGTAGTGTGAAATGATGTCACCCCAATGCTAGACCTTGCAGCCTTAGTGCCCAGGTTCTTGTGTGTTTTAGGTCCCAAAAAGTGGTGAGAGGTGGTGCTGCTTCATCCAGCTGCTGCTGCCAGGTTCTTGTGTGTACTGGAGCAGTGAGTGAGATGTTCAGGGAGTGGTGAGCTTGCTTGTAAGTATGATGGAATGTGGGAGGTGTTGTGGTAGGGAGATGCACTTTATGTGTATGTGGGAGATCAGGAAATGTCCATTTGCACTGAGGGATATCCAATAGAATGAGCATCAAGGATGCTAATACCACACATTGGATTTTCACCGATGATGTAGACATTTCTGCTATTCCAGCAAAAAGGAAAAAAAGGTTAGCTAAAAATTCCTGCACTATCATGATGGTTCTTCTATTGTGGTGATGACAGTGTGCTGAAAGCTCTGATTTACTTTGGACAGTTAGGTCAGCTCCCAGATGTTTGTGGAGATCATCCATAGCCATTGGATGAAGTGAGGTTGGTGGTGATGCTTGATGGAATTTGTATAGTGGTTGTCTTCATGTACCTGAAAGATGGGTTGCCCATTTGGTCCAATATAATCTGGCCTCTGATATGGGAGGGGAGGTTGAGAATATTATTGAAATGGGTAAGCTGTGGGAGATCATGGCTAAGTTTGGACAAAGAGTCAGTAGGGCAATTTGCTTCCCTGAATATTTGTGTGCATCTGATTTCCTCACACTGTTGGCAGAGTTGTTGCAGCTATTGGATTTGCATATGAATATTCCATAGAGGATTGGATGTGTTGTTGACCCAATGTACCAAAAGAGCTAAGTCAACCTATAGGTGGATCCTAGCAAAACTATTCTCAATACACCAGTTGACTCCAATGGTAGCAGCAATGGTTTCTGCTAGGTTATTGGTGCCAGTGCCCAGAAGGGAGGCTATGGCATGGATGAATTGGCCATGGTGATCCCTGACAATGACACCAACTCAAATTCTTCCCGGATTTGTAAGGGCACTGCCATCACAGTTCACTTTCACAAATTGAACCTCAGTTTAGCCCATGTCACTTGAGTGATGGTGGTGATATGTTTCACATTCTCAACCAGGGTGTAGATGTCATTCCAGTTGAGAGGCCATTTGATCTGAGGATAGCTAGTCTTGAGAAGAAGAAGGATGTCTGAGTGAATAGCAAAAACCACCCTAGTGATAGATGAATTCCTATTGCCATATTTGGCTCCACACCTATTCTTCCAAAGATTCTAGTAAATGATAACTGGAATGGTGTCAAGCAAGAGTTTGTGGACTACATTGTTGGCTTTCAGAAGACACCATTTCATCAAAAGAAGTCTGAGAGGGAGATCATCAATGTTCAGTCTAGCAATACCAGAAAATTTCCTCCAAACTGTTCTTGCAAAATGCCCTTTACTGAATATATGGTCAATGAATTCCCCCTGAGGTTTGATACAACAAACACACCTGGTGACAGTAGGCTGGACAAATGAGACAAACCTATCATCAGTGGGTAGTTTATTTCGAAGGGCTCTCCAAAGGCAGAAAGACCATTTGAATGGAATCTTGTTGTGCTAAATTTTGGAATTGGAGAAGAGATGTTGTTTTTTCGTTCTAATGACTTCCCAGGCTGATGCACAGGTAAAATTACCTGTTGTGTGTGGTATCCATATAGGTTTATCTGGTATGTGAGGATTGAAATGAATGGTAATAAGAATGATCTGGGGGATTATGTGTGCAGGAGCTAAAGCATTCAACATCTGAATATTCCACTGTCCTGCTTCCCAGAAGTATGAGACTGGAACCTTGCCTGGTGTGCCACTATCAGTTCTATGGTATGTTAGAGGGCCTGTACCAAGCTAGTTGTCCCACCAGAAGCTGACCTCCCCTGAATGTAACCTCCAATGAATATGTTTTTCTACCTCTTTCTTATTGACCATGAGCTTTTTCCATGCTTGAGATTGCCCTGTGTCCCACTTTTTAGAGATGAGGTGTGACTTTGACAGTATTTAGCCATAAGAAATCTTCTCCACAAGGACTGTTTGGTTCTAAAATTCTACCACTGTTTGAACTCCATAGCTTTGCACACATATTATATGGATCTTGTCCCAATGCCACCTTCCTTTATGGGGTATGCCATCTTTGACCATGAAGCCCAGTGATATTTATTTCTGTCCTTATCAACCCCCCAAAAAAATTGGGCAGCCAGCTTTTCAATCTGCTTCATGACTGTCTTGGGAGGAGAGACTGCTGAAAGCAGATGAATAGGAAGGGATTGAAGTATATGTTTGATTAGTATAACTCTGCCCCCATAAGAAAGTAACTTGCTCTGCCAACCTCTAATCCTATTGACCACCTTAGAAATTAAGCCATTAAAGTACATGATCCTCTTCCTGCCAATATATAGGGGGAAACCAAGGTATGTGATAGGGGATTCTTTCCTAGTGAAGCCTGTTATCCATTGAATTCTGCTCACATTGTAGTGAAATACACAAGCTGGAACTATGAAATGGCTCTTGTTTTTGTTGATCTGCTGCCCAGAGGTGATTTCATAATCACTTAAGATCTTCATGATATTTAGAAGTAAGGATCTGCACCCTGAAGTGAAAATGATAATATCATCTGCAAAGCTAAGATGGTTGACCTGGGGACCTCTCTTTTCCATGTAGAAACCATTGAAAAATTGATCATGGGTGAGGTTGTTTAGCATTCTTGACAGGAGTTCAACACCAATAATGAAAAGGGCATGGGAGAGAGGATCGCCTTGCTTCAAACCTCTGGTAGACATAAATAATCCATGCCTGGTACCATTGACAATAACTGAATACCAATTGTTGGACATTGTCCTCCAAATCATGTCAATGATAATCTCACATAACCCCATTCTTCTCAACATAATGCAAGTGAAAGCCCATGAGACTCTGTCATAAGCTTTGGCCATATCAAGCTTGATCACGACATTGGCACCAATATTTGGCTTTTTGATTCCCTAAACAATTTCTTGTGCAAGCATAATATTCTCAGAAATGCTCCTTCCCCTAACAAATCCAGATTGATTAGGAGATATGATCTTGGGAAGGATGGGGGCTAATCTAGTGCAAATGACTTTGGAAATGACCATATTGATGAAGTTACTAAGGCTGATTGGTCTGAATATTGTTAAGGAGTTTGGAAATTCAACCTTAGGCAGGAAAACCAAACAAGCATTGGTCATGTACTTTGGCATAACACTGCCTCTGAAGTAGGCCAGGACAACATTGATAAGGTCCTGATTGATTATTTCCTAGCATGCTTGGAAATTTTTTCCATTCATTCCATCTAGACCTGCTGCACTGTTAGGGTTCATAGAAAAGACCATTTTTTTGAGTTCCTGTAAGGTAGGATCTTTGATGAGTTCAGCATTATCTTCAGGGGTGATCATGCTGGGAATACAGTTGAGAAGGTCTTCTCTTATCACCCCCTCCATATTTTAGAAAAGATCTCTTTAAAATATTCACAAGCAGCTTCACCAATAGCCTCATCCCTTTGTATCCAATCCCCTTCCTCATTTTTTAGTTTATGAATGTACAACTTTCTTCTTCTTCCTCTGATTAAGCTGTGAAAGTATCTGGAGTTGGCATCACCATCTTTGAACCAGTGAAGCTGCATTTTTTGCCTTAGAACAACTTCTTCAGTCTTCAGATATTTAGTATATTGGGCTTGAATCTCATGAAGAGCAGCTCTATCAGAAGGATCATTGGTTGATAACCATTTCTCTTCAGCTTCCCTAACCTTTTGTTCAAACTCCTTGGGTAGTTGAAAAATGTCACCATATTGTTCTCTTGACCAGACACTCAGTGCCCTAGAGGTAGTTTTCAATTTCTGGTGGAAAATCCACATAGCACTGCCAGCAATATGTGTGGACCAGACCTGGTGAACTAAGGGTTTGAATGACTCATTTTCAGTCCAGCAATTGAGAAATTTAAAGTACTTCTGATTGTATTCTTGCCTCACATGAAGTTCCAAAAGGAGGGGAGAGTGGTCAGAACCAGCAGCTGCTAGATGGGTAATGGTGGTGGTAGGAAAGGATGTTAGCCAATTGTCATTAACTATACCTCTATCCAGTCTTTTCCAACCTATTAAACATGGGCCTCTACCATTTGACCATGTGTATCTTGGACCATAGAAAGCAAGGTCAACAAGCCCACAATCTTCAATCATGCTAAGAAAGTCAATGCTCTTCTTCATTTGATATGGGAGCCCATCAATCTTCTCTTCAACTGAGGCTATACCATTGAAATCACCAATGATACACCAAGGAACAGAACAACTGGTGGATTTCAATCTCAAAGTTTGCCATAGAGGAATTCTCATAGAAGGTTTATACTTAGCTTAGATAACAGTGACCTGAAAGGGATCATCAGCTTCCATATGTTTGAGTTCAATAGTCATTTGTTGTTCATCATGGTCCAGCACAGTACCACTGAATTCCTGCTCCCAAAAAAACCCAAATCTTGTCATTAACATTGGCAGCTGCTTTATGCATAGAAAGTTGGAGTCTGAAGTAGTTGAGGTTATTGGGTTGAATTGCATTGGATTGAAGGAAAGGTTCAAGGACAATAATAAAAGAGAGTTGGTGAAGTTTTTTCAGAAGTTTGAGCCTTTCAATAGCTCCAGAGGTTCTGATGCCTCTTGCATTTCAAATGATTGTACTAATCACCAGGAAATGGGTAAGTGTTTGGACTTTTGGGTGGTACTAGGGCCAACTGCAGTCTTACTTCTGGTGATTCTTGGTGAAGGTCCCATTTGTCTTGGTGACAAACCTTGACTGGCTATCGTGTGGTCTTTGTTAGTATCTCCATTAATGGCTCTAATGAGAATATCATAATGTTGGTCTTCATTCAGGTCCACACTTCCATCCTCTAATTCATCTTCTGACAGGATTGGCATGTACTCATCAAGATCCATTCCTGAAGGAGAGAATCTATTCAATTAGCCATCTCCAGGATCAGGGACATAATGATAATCACTGGGTTGATCACCTTCTTGTGAGAGCATTCTTTACTGGGGATTCATGTTAGCATTTGGTTCCTGTTCTTCATTTGTATTGAAAAATTTATCCTTTTTTGATTCATTGTCAAATAAGAGAGGTTGTAGTTCAGCATCATCAACACTTGCCTATTGTACCTCTATAACTGTATTTTCTTTGTTGGTGACTGCTGAGGCTTTTTGAATTCTTAGTGCCTCCTCTTTGCTCTGTATTGCTCTTCTTTTCTTTTGGCTAGGACTGTTCTTCTTTTCGCTCTTTGTGTGGCTGGTGTCTTGCACATGATCTTTTCCTTTAATTTTTTTGATTAATTGTTGTTCAATGTCCTCCTCAGAACTCACATGAATTGCAGTGTCATGAGCAGGATTAGCAACTGTGGTAGCAGGGGTATGATTAATTCTATGGTCAGTTATTTGTGCATCAGCACACTCATGAAAAACATGAGAAATCCCACCCCTATTTAGAACCCCTTCTCTATTACCTACTGTTTCTTCCTGACAGATCTCCTTTCCTCCAATAACTTCAGCAGCAAAAACAATAGGGGGAGCAGGGGAAATGGGTTGATTCTGGGCACTAGAATCTGCACTCCTCTCTAGTGGAGCTGGAGGATTGATAGAAGCCATACCTGAGGTTTGGGGGTCCTGTTACTGATTCTCCTTTGTTATGATCCGATGCTGCTGATTGGTTAGTTGTTTAGCTATGTAAACAACCTGTTGCTTCTTATTGTGAGCACTTCCCTTTGATTTTTTATTTTTCTGTGTTTTCCATTCTTCCTGTGAAGAGTTAGCCCCTAGTGTCTTTGGTTCTGTCCTATTTTGTGCATTGTCTTTTGATTGAATGTTCTATTGAGATCGCTGACCTTCTGAGTTTTGGTTGTTGTTATGAGTTTGTTACAACTGTGAGTGGTGAAATTGAGTTGATCCTGCTGCTTTTTCCTGTTATGCTTGTGCTTCACTGATCTTTTTCTTTTGCAGGTCTTCATTCTTGGATTTTGCAGGCCATGCATGAGTAGTGTTCCCTAGCAATCTACAGTAGGAGCAATAATCAGGAATGCTTTCATACTGTATCTTTAACCATTGACCATTCCCATTTTCATCTTGATTGTCATCATAACCCAACCAAACATGGTATGGTCTGTTCTTTGTGAGATAAATCTGCATCTTAACCTTAGCTACAGTTCCCCTTATTTTTTGAAATGATGCAAGGTCCAGAAATAATGCTTTGCCAACATGAGACAGTAGTGGGGTAAGGATCTCCATGTAGTAAAAATGCCATGGGAGTTCTGGGATGACAATCCACACTGCCACAATTGGAGAGTCTTCATTTGGCTTAAAAAGAGGTGTCCATGCTTCCAGCTTCATCATTTGACCTTGGATGTACATGAATTGCTTGTTCCAGACTGTGGCATGATCATATTCATTGTCTAAGTCAATGTAGACAGTCTTAGCATTGAAATGTGCAATCTTGACTTCTCCTTTAAGCTTAGTTTGAGTGATGAAACTTCTTCTAATGACTTCTATTCTAGGCATGGTATTGGAAAATTTTCCTACCACTGTGTATTTGCACCTAGTAGCTAAGTTGACCATGTAGTCTTCCTTTTTGAATACAACTTCAGGCATGCCTTGTTTG